CTTTAGTCCTTTAGGCAAACATTAAATAAAAAAAAAAGAATCCAAACTACCTGAACTGACATTAAATTTAATAAAATTGAATTGAGAAATGATGTGCAAAATGCCATGTGTAATTATTCATTTCTAGTGTCTGAAACATGGTAAGGACTTCTAAGTGCTAAATAAAGGAATGGATGAATCCAAATTCGTTGAGGAAAGACCATACGATTAAGCGAGTACTGGGAATTAAGGAGCAACTTCTACGTTAATGCATGATTTGTAGGCAGAAATGAATGCTTTGATAAAGTTTAATGCGTATTAAATATAAAGCACTGAAGTTTCATATAATTGCATTGATGATACAAAATCCCATTTATACAGCTAACATTATATTAATCATTTTCCCGTTGCCTGAATAATAGAAATGTGAGTAATTTAAATTGGAACTTTTAAAATTTTGAGCTCTTTATTAAAAAGCACAAGAATCGACACATTACTGGAAGAATTTAATACTTCAATTATAATCTGTAACTAATGATCACAGCAAAGAAATAAATTGAAGATAAATGAAACAACATAATATCTACAGAAACAAAAATATATTTACGTACAATCTTACCTGGATCCATTTATCTGGAATTGCCATGGCTAATCGATAGTCAAAACCAACCCCTCCCTGGGAAATTGGAGAACACAGAGCTGGCATTCCTGATACATCCTAAAACAAAGTACATCAGCACTATCAGTTCATACTGATCAAACTTTTAGTAAATATTCTGACATTAAATTCCAGGCCAAAAAAGGAAAGCAATAATAGGGGCATACGTTTTGGGAGAATTTTGTTAATGTAATTATAAAATTGGATAAAATTGTGATAGCATATCACATTTCCCATAAGACTTTTGTTTAATGTTTTCACTCCAGGCCAACTTAAATCTCATGAGGCTATTTTTTTTCTTTTCCTAGTATCAGCTAAAGCAGGGGTCCCCAACCTATGATGAGTTGTATAATTATTTCATACAATGTAATAATAATAGAAATAAAGTGTATAATAAATGTAATACATTTGAATCATCCTGAAACCATCCCCGCCCTACCATTCCATGGAAAAACTGTCTTCCATGAAAATGGTCCCTGGTGCTAAAAAGGTTCGGGACTGTTGACCTAGAGAACTCAAAATAGTAAAACCATTATTGCTAAAACATAGTTTCTTAGACTTATTTTTGAACTACTGTAAAAATTTTTATTACTTATTGCTTTCGCCAAACACAAAATACATGTGGCATATATGTGGTATATTTGTTCTCTCCATATACAGCACTGACATGAAGTATATTTTTGTGAGTACTAGCTTTTGATGAAATGGAAAGCAGAGCTAGTACATTAAAAGTGAAGCAATAAGATGCCTTCCATTATTGTAGGTTACACTTGGAAGGGGTCTTTGAGTTTAGCTAGCGGGTCCTCTTCATTTAGCAGATATAGTAACAGAGTCTTAATGAGCTGAAGAGGTCTCTAAAGATAAGTTTTTTCCTGGTAGAGCTAGGACTCAGATATCAAGCCTTTTAACAGAGTGTCTTTCTACTTTCTCGTGTTACCATCAGAATATCAGTAATCAAATAAATAAAATTAATCAGCCAGATAAATGGATTTTAAAAATTGGTGTCAGGACCCAGATGCAACAAAAGATATTAATAAAACAACTATAGCAAAATATGAGCTAAATAATTCTAAGTCTACAATATCTTTCAAATAAATCCTTTTCCTTTGCTCCATTTCCACAGCCACAATCTTATTTAATCTTCATTACTGCTTGCTTAGACTGTATGTTTCTGAACAGAATTCTCCATCTTGAGTATCTCTTCATGCTAACTGCTGTCAAATTAATATCTTGTGAGACAATCTGCTCCTATCACTGCCCTTCAATAGATTTCAATAGCCAATAATTGAAAAATCAAATTCTTTAGCTTAAGATTCAACAATTATCCACTAAGCATTTATTATATCATTTACAATTCAATTATCTGCATCCTCACTTGCTGTTAGAATGTAAGATTCAAGAGGGAAGGGATTTGTTATTGTTGTTCACTGATATACCCCGAGAATCTAGAACAGAACACTAGCACTTGGCACAAAGCAGGTACTCAGTAAATATTTGCTGAGTGAATAAGTGAGATTCTCTGAGGGATTTAAAAATAAATAAGACATAATATCTGAATTCCAGAGGTTCATAAACTATGACCGAAATAAATATGCACACATGAAATGACAATGCAATGCATCTGTGATAATTAACTAAAGTGCACAGAAAATGAAATGGAGAGACATCTTTCCTGCGGGGAGTGCGTAGGGATGGTATTATGGAAGAAGCAGCATTTGAGCTAAGTCTCAGAGATCTTATGCTATGTGTCACCATCATTTCCTACTATTTCATTTCAAGTAATAAATACTTTGGCCACTTTGAAATATTTACTTTTCCCTGTGTTTGTCACAAGCTTTTTTACATGTGTCATTGCACAAAGTGTTCCTTGGATTATTATCCTTACTTCCTGTAAAAAGCTACCACATAGTATAAGCTCTCTGAGACTTAGCTCAAATGCTTCTTCTTCCATCATACCATCCCCAAACTCTGCCCACAGAAAAGCTAAAAAAAAAAAAAAAAAGAAGTATATGACCTCTCTGGACTCCCAAAATAATTATTATTTTCTTATGGAAGAAAGGTATAAGTAAATATAGTATATAGTAGAATATATTCATAAGAAAATAAAATATTTATCAATAATATGTTATTTCTGAATAGTTCTCTATAAAGTGGAAAAAAGATGGTCCACAGAAAAGAACCTATTTTAAAAAGTTATATTTATCAAAATATTAATATCAGTTGCATTTCCACAAATATGATAGGTATTCAGTTCATTCATTATAAGCATTGGCTGAGTACATCAAGCACCATATTAGGCACTAGAATTAGAGATACAATGTCTTCTTAAAAGAGAGCCATAAGCTCAAACAGTCGAGAATGGTGATGGTCTGGTATTAAATATCAAGATAAGTTTGTGGGGGGGAAGTAAATTTGCAACTAAAGGACACAGGGAGCATTGTAGGGGGGAAGAGTATGCGTTTAACCCTCGCTTGGGTGAGGCAAAGACATAAAGTGTAACAATAATGTTTGTACCCTCATAATACCCTAAAATAAAAAAAAAAGAAAGAAAACATTAAAGTATGTTCTATATTTAGTCTAAATGTTGTTTTAGGAAATAGAATCTGCTAAGAAAAATATATGTACATCAATTGGTGTTGATTCCTAAATCTGAATTCTAGAAAGTTGCTCCATTAATGTAAATGAGTTATTTGCAGGCCTTTTTTGAAAGTAAAGAGTTAGTGACTAAGCTTTTAAATTTAAAGGGAAAAAAAAAAGGTAAATATATCCAGCAATCCCATTACCGGGGTATCTACCCAAAGGAAAAGGAGTCATTTTATCAAAAATACACCTGTACCCAAATGTTTATCGCAGCATAATTCACAATTGCTAATTGATGAGTGGATAAAGAAAAGGTTACACACACACACACACACACACACACACACACACACACACACACACGGAATACTACTCAGCCATAAAAAGGAATGAAATGAATAATGTTATTTGCAGCAACCTGGATGGAACTGGAGACCTATTATCCTAAGTGAAGTATCTTAGGAACAGAAAAATAAATACCATATGTTCTCACTAATACCTGGGAGCTAAAAATTGGGTATGCACGGTCATAAAATGGTGAGGACATTGGAAACTAAGAAGTGGGGAGGTTGTGAGGGGAGTGTATTGAGTGAGGGTCACAATAAAAGCCTTGATATCAGTATTACACAATTCATCCAAGTAACAAAAACACCTGTGCCCCCTTAATATTTTTAAATAAAAATTATTAAAAAAGGTAAATATAAAGGTCACCAAAATAAAGATACTCCAAATATAAAATAGTTGATACCTACTGAACAGCATATGAAAACAATTATATGTGTTTTGGATGAAATTAAAATATTTCTAATTTTTTAAAATCTAAAGAGCAATTATAACTATCCCAGAGGGAGAACAATTCAACCAAAAATATTTTTAATTTATATAGCAAATATAATCATGTAGAAAGGTGAATATATTCTAGCAAAAAAAGGTTTCAATTTCTATAATTATCATTATAAATAAATTCATATTTCTACTATAGGAATTTATTTAAAATTACATTACTTATTCATTACACCACATTCCTTTCCTTGAAAAAAAAGTTCACGAGGATCAATTCCACATTTTGAAGAGACTCCCACTAGACAGAAAAGTGATGCATTGAAATTGAAGTAGTTTTCAATTTAAGTAGAATAAATTGAAGACACATCTTGTTTTAAAAAAAAATCTAAAACCAAGTAATATAAAGTAGGTTAAAGTCTCAAAGTTTCATTGGTAGAAACACTGATAATCAGACAAGAGTTCCCTGGATGATGAAACTATTGAAATGAATGGAAAGATCAATGTAACAATTTTAAGTTTCATGTATTAAATAATTGCTTCTTTTTCTTCAATACCCACTTTTGATTTGTGCTATCACTAATTGTTTGTAGTAATTTGTCATATATAATATCTCTGCTTTGGATTGTCACAAATATAATTGATAAAATAATTAATTTTTTGATGTTTATCAGATAAAATTTAAATATATAAAAGCTAAAATAAAAGTTTAAAATACATTCTGATTGATGTTAAAAGACATTCTGCACATAAAGTATTAGCACAAGTATTAGTGAGACTTATATGCTCTGATCAAATGTAGGTAGGTAGAGTGTGTGAAATAGCACTAGTTGTCTAAATTGTATGACAGTTTTTTGTTTGATTGCTTCATAACTCTACATAAGAATTTATTTCAGAAATTTAGGGCCACTGCTCTATTCCCAGAAGTTATTTAGAAGGCAAAAGGCTTTAAGGGAGTAAAACTGTTCTCCTCTATCCAGAGACAAAGAAATCATACCACTTAGTTGGAGATTTTTGGTTAAAAATGATGAATAGAAAAAAAAGGCTATACAAATAATAAATACTACAGGAAGGAGAATCACTACTGCATTTCTTTTCAATGAACTAAATACCAACAATGTGAAAATACACCTTAATTATAACTCTTTTAAAGAATAGTCTTACTATTTTTATATGCCTAACACTACACTTTGTATAGAATAATTTTAACATGCTAAATTCAATTTTAATAATAATTTCTAGTCAGAGGACTCAGAAAACCAGGGGGATTTTAGAACTAAATCGAAATTAGCATAGCATTTAACAAACTTCTTAATTTATCACATTTATCATCAAGAGGGGAATTGTCAATTATGCATATACTGAATTATATCATTACAGTGCAGCTTTGGGACAGTTAATCATGAGCCTTCAGTAATCATGAATAACTAGTGAACATTTGGCAATCCAAGAGCAATAACATAAACAAGAAAGGTAATTGCATCAGAACAAGAAAGGCGTCAGAGAAGCTCATAGGCAGCAATCCATGCCATCTTTAATGATTAAACCAGAAAACAAAAAAATTAATAAATAAATGGACAGACGCACATTAATATTCAATTCTTTCTCTGCTGAAGGTCTCATGGCAGAAGGACCTGTCCACTGATTAGGATATTTTACTTTCTAACCACTGGCATTTTCTGTTTAACAATGGAATGCTGACAAGTAATTAGTAGTGTACATTATCTCCTAATAGGAAAACAGTGAATTCTAAATAATGTGCCACCCATACAAGATAGCTGCACTATAGTTAGGGTACAATTTCATTTATGTAATTATTAACAACATGAGATTAATTATTCAAACACTGTATGCTAACAAAATGTTCTATACTAAAGGGGGTCAGAGGGTAAGACATCATTATGGCTTTACCTCAGCTATTGTTATAGAATCTGGATACAACGTGTGAACCAAATGATTTGCCAACATGAGATAAATCAATGCATCTTCATCTACTTGGAGTCCAAAATATTCATTGTAATCACCTGAAAAACCTTGACCTAAAGAACAGAAAATAAACATGGATATATTATGTTAACATGCAAGACTTAACTATACACAAATGTACCCGCAAATTAGTTTATTGACATAAATTTTGTTACTGCAGCAAAGTGTGTAACAATGATGATGTTACCATCAGCAAATATACCATTTAATTTAGAAAAGTATTCCATGTCAACATTCAGAGTTTGGACAATCCTATAAATCACTTTTTTTGGGCCAAGAAAGAACACTTTGATTTAAAGATTTAATTTAAATTTAGTTAAATTTTATAGCCAAAAAATAAAATAAAGTGAAATGATACTGAAGGGAGTTTTAAATTTCAAATTTTCAATACATTTTCTGTCACATCGAGAAGATGTCAATGTTAGCTTCGATTAGATCCCTCTGAGTTAAAGTAAATATGAAAATCATAAAATTGAGTCATAATGTTTATATTATTTTAAATACGTGCTTCAACTTATGCAATATGGAGTTCCTATGACAAAGAAATTATAATATCCTCAAACTTCCTCCTACCTTCTCTTTTCCCAACTCATAATTTCAATTTTTTATAGTATATATCACTTATTGGGGTTATATCATTTACTTTCTAGTCTTTCAGCAATTTACTTTTATTTTTGTAATTAAATCAAATTAGCACTCAACACCAGCCTTTCCCCCCATTTCCCTATGTCTAAGTTCTTTTGATTCTTTTTTTTTTTCAGTTTGCTAGATTTTATCACTGAGGGATGTTTTCACGTATAATTATGGAAGTTTTATTCCTCAATTTTTTTTCATGTTCATACTTCAATGGCAATTCAACTACAAAGTTTCTTTCATTTTTTTGATATAGTCATCCCTTTTAAAATTTTAAAATATTTAATAGACACAAATTGCATATACTCAAGGAGTACAAGGTGATTTGATATAGGTATACACTGTGTACTGATTACTACACTAAATTAATACAGCCATCATCACCCCTAGTTACCATTTGTGTGTGCAGGGGGGTGAGGACACTTAAAATCTGCTCTCATCAAATTATAAGTAAACAATATAGTAGTATTTATTGTAGTCAGCATGCTGAAGTTTAGATCCCCAGAGTTTATTCAACTTATAACTGAAAGTCTATATCCTTTGACCAACATTTCCCTTTTCCTCTACCCTTTAGCCCCTGGCAACTATCATTCAACTAGCACATTCTTGAGTTACACTTTGTTTCCATAAGAATTTTGTAGACATTGCTTCTGACAATAGAATAACATGAGTCCAGTCATTTTTTCCACCTATGCAGGTAAATTCCTTTTTTTTCCTAGATATCATGTGATGAATTGCTCTTTATTACTGAATTTATAAATTAAACACTGTGTCTTGATATTAATCATTTAATCTCAATTTTTCTGGTATATGATGTACTCTTTTGCTGTGAAGTTTCAGGCTTTTTTTTTTCTCTCATTCCAAGGCAGGAAAACATTTTAGTAACTCAGAATGTTTTTCTTTACCATTTATTGGACTCTCTATTCACAAAAAGCATTTCAGTTAATTTTTCCAACACCGCAGATTTACTGGAATATACTCCACCCTTAGTGAGGAAGTTTCTGCACACGCAGTTGGTTAAATCTAGGAGAGGATCTTTCTTGACTTTTGCCAGGCTTGCCTTTGCATGTCCTACATCAGTTTCTCCCCAGACTGGAGGATGGATATCAATGAAACCTGTTTTGTCTTGCAGATTCAACCTCTTTCCTACAAACATTTCATGAGGGTTGCATAATTATTAATATTAAATAGTAAGTAGTGGCACATTTGGAATCTTTAGCTTCTTTCCTTGGCAGAGACTTTTCAGGATTTACAGTCTAAAGTTTTTCTTCATTTCTTGATTGGTTGTTGCTGGTGAATATTTGCCCATTAAAAAATAATAATAATTAATTGCTCGTATGTTATCTATTGAGGGATTAGTGTTCTGTGATTCCACTTCTTTGCACAACTTTTGGACTGAAAATCTTCATATTTTTAATTTACAAATTAATTTATAATTGAATTTTAACTGAGTAAATCTATATGTAAAATATCTATTTTCTACAATGGATAATATGCAGAAACCCACACATTCACAAATGTCCTCATTTATTATTTTTAACAAATTTTCATTGCAAATGCTGTGATGTTCATATCCTGAGGGTGTTGTAATAGATGATTTCCTCAAAATAATTTTATAGAAAGCTATATATTAATGAAAGCATATTATTAATTAGATACATTTCAAAGGAAATGATTATCTTTTTTTTACTTATAAAATGTATTTATAGGCTGGGCGCGGTGGCTCACACCTGTAATCCTAGCATTCTGGGAGGCCGAGGAGGGTGGATTGTTTGAGCTCAGGAGTTCAAGACCAGCCTGAGCAAGAGCGAGACCCCGTCTCTACCAAAAATATAAAGAAATTACTTGGACAGCTAAAAATATATAGAAAAAATTAGCTGGGCATGGTGGCGCATGCCTGTAGTCCCAGCTACCCGGGAGGCTGAGGCAGGAGGATCCCTTGAGCCCAGGAGTTTGAGGTTGCTGTGAGCGAGGCTGACGCCACCGCACTCTAGCCCAGGCAACACCGTGAGACTCTGTCTCAAAAAAAAAAAAAAAAATATATATATATATATTTATACTCTACCTTTTGCCAAAAAGGGATAAGAAATGACTACACAGAACACATATACAATGGAACTAATAAAAGTCAAGCCACCGATAACGGTCATTGCAGTTTCTGTAACTGGCCCCCAAACCTGGCTATAATCTTCCAATAAAACATAAAATAAAATAAATTAAAATCATTAGTTTCATCTGTAATGTGTCAAGTTACCTACCTATTCCATGGTGATGATAGAGCATGGATGTAACACCATCAAAACGAAATCCATCAAAGCCATATTCTTCCAGCCACCATCTTATGTTTGACAGAAGGAATCTTAAAACTTCCCAGCTAAAATATTAAAGAAATATGCATTTAAGTACAATGTAAGTAGTGTTTTCCTTAATCGTTATACATGGTTTGCTAAGAGTATTAATTAAAATTGAAATCTCTATCTCAAGAGTCATGATGTTCAGGAAACATATCATATAAAAACCAGAAAACTAGCAACGAATATGTCATTCTTTTGGTAAAACTCATTGTAAAAGAAAAAAATCACTAAATTTCTATCCAAGAAAATTCAGGGAAAAATATGTAACAGGAACCCCCAAAGCTGGGATTCTGTCTTGTTCAATGCTGTGTCCAGTCAGTGATTATTACATAATAGCGTAAAACACAGTGTCAAATAATAGTGTCAAAAATAAATCTGTTATGTATCTCTGAATTTTTATCAAGATTTTTCATGTAATATAGCCATAGTTATGTGATTTTTTCCTTTCAAGAAATATATTTTCATTATCAGTAGAAAAAGTACCTTTGATAATTGCTTAAAATATTTTTATGCTATAATTTCAAACAGATATAATTCAGAATAAAAAATAAAAGATTAAAAAAACTTAAAATTAACCACATGGTAAGCAATATTACATTTACTAGACTGTTGTTTTGTGGAGGTAAAAAAAGAAAACCTAATTACCAAAAAACACATATTTAATAAAGTAGAAACTTTTATAAGTTAAAGAGCTCTACATTCATAAAAACAGAAGAAAAACAAAGAACTGTATAACTCAATTAAAAACACCACACGAAACAAGTCTATTTTGGACAATTGAAAAAAGGGCATCATCAATTAGTATTTTCTTTAGTCATATAGTTATGGTTGAGTTCTCTATCTTATTATAACTGTGGTTTTAAGACTTTTATACCTCATTTAGTTTAATGACGAAGCTATAAGAGCATACACAAATCTTTATCCCAGTTAAAATTTATTTTTTAAACCTTCCATATATTAAAGAATGATCTGATGTAAGTGTAGATTAAGTCATCACAATCAACTTTGGAATTATAAATCCAAACATTGGGGAAAGAGTAGTGCTGTTGGTATTTAACTGCTTTAAATAAGTTACTTTGAGTTTTGAAAACTTATCAAAAGTTTAAAAAAAATCCAAGAAGTCTAGTAGATAAAAAGGGGAGCAGGAGGGTCAAGATTTTTAGATTAAGCAACGAAGAAGGTAGAATTCGCATATATTTCTATTAATGCACATTCATTCACAGTTTAAGGGGAAAGTTCTGTTTCATGAAAAGAAAGCAATATAAATAAGGAAGTTTTCTACAACTGTACAAGATCAAAATTACTCTATTTTGTATAGGAATTTCTTATTACTATACTTTTTAAAAAGTTAGAAGGCTCTTGGATTCACGGCAAAATTGAAAGGAAAGTACGAAGAGTTCCCATGTAACCCCTGTCCCCACACATACGTCTTTATTTTTTTAAACAAGTTTGCTATATGAGAATTTCAGAAAGAAGACATGAATAAAATTTCACATCAATAATCCTTTGAAAACAATGTTTTGAAAAGGATATAAATACTTTTCTAATTTGGCCATTTGACTAACAATGTACATTTTATTTCTAAAAAGTAAATTGAAAGATATTTTTACTCAAAAATTCCTAGAATAGGAACAAACTTGTTTAAATACTAAATATCTTGGGTAGATATATAAAGATATGAATATGTAACCCAGAGATCACAAACTGTCCCTGGACCTTATCTGACATGCTCTAATGTTTTACCGGGCTTACAGAATATATATTTTTTAATTTCAGAAAATTACTGGGGTACAAATGCTTTGGTTCCATAAATTGCCTTAGTACTACCAAAGGCAGAGCTACAAGCATGTCCAACGCCTAAACAGCACACGCTGCACCCGTTAGGTGTGTGTTTACCCATCCCCTCCTCCCAGCCCCCACCTGCCTGACACCTGATGAATGTTACTTCCCATATGTGCACATAAGTGTTGATCAATTAGTACCAATTTAATGGTGAGTACATGTAGTGTTTGTTTTTCCATTCTTGTGATATTTCATTTGGAAGAATGGGCTCCAGCTCCAACCAGGATAATAGAAGAGGTGGTTCACTATTTTTTTATGGCTGAGTTGTGCTCCATGTTAAACATATACCACATTTTATGAATCCACTCATGTATTGATGGGCACTTGGGTTGTTTCCACATCTTTGCAATTGTGTATTGTGCTGCTATAAACATTCTAGTGCAGTTGTTTTTTTTTTTATAGAATGTCTTTTTTCCCTTTGGGTAAATACCCATTAATGGGATAGCTGGATCAAATGGTAGATCTACTTTTAGTTTTTTGAGATATCTCTATATTAATTTCCACAGAGGTTGTACTAGTTTGCAGTCCCACCAGCAGTGTATGAATATTTCTATCTCTCCACATCCACACCAGCATTTGTTGTTTTGGGACTTTTTGATAAAAGCCATTCTCACTGGAATGAAGTAATATCTCATTGTGGTTTTGATTTGCATTTCCCTGATGATTAGAGATGTTGAGTATTTTTTCATACGTTTGTTGGCCATTAGTCTACCTCCTTTTGAAAAGTTTCTGTTCATGTCCTTTGCCCACTTTTTAATGGGGTTGTTTGATTTTTTCTTGCTGGTTTTAAATTTTTACTTTGAATTCCTGCAGATGGAACAGGTACTTTCTAGCTCTTCCCAGTCCCAGCCTCCACATTTTCTTATGGCAATCCTATTTACTCATTTGTACACCAGTTTGGACTTGTGGACATTAACTGTCAATCTCTAACACAAATATCTACCAAAGATAAAAGAAATGATCCCAGGATACTGCAATTCAGTGAAAAACACAAGAGAGAGATGATGTGAATTTAATCATTGAAAAGAAAGCTTTTCTCATTTTCACACATTTGATTAAAAGAAAAGTTAATAATAGCCCTAACTGATTCCTGTTACTATAATATTTAATCTATTCTCTTCTTGACCAGAAGTAGTAATAACACTGTGTTTAAGATATTAAAAGAGAGAAATACATTGGGGTGTAACTATGTGAGCAGACAGATTCTTGGCAAGGATGAGCAAAAAAACACATTTTTGTGATAATCAGCAAAGATTATCCATTATAGTGACAATAGAGCATTTAATTAAGATGTTCTAATGGGTTGAAAATATTAAGTTCTATTCTTTAAATCTCTGAAATACTCAAATTGAAACATTATCTAAAAAATATAAACAATATGAAAAATCACAAGATTAAATTGATAGGAATAAATCAAATTTCTAATGCTTCAAAATAATTTCTTTTATTATATTTTATGAATCATTAATGAAACAAAATAGACAAAATTTTACAGGAGGTAAACTATGTATAACAAAATCAGTAAAGAACAAAAATCTAGAAAGTTCTATTTTTTAACAAACTCTGAAGACACAAATTCAGGAAAAAAAAACAGATCTAAAATTCTAAAGTTACTAGAAAAAGTTAAAAATATTAATTCTTTTGTTAAATATATTTTCTTAAAACTAGATTATTAAGAATAGTTAAGCAAAAATAACTAGCCTCATAAAGATAACAGTTTGTAAACAACTAGCCTTTGTTGTATAAGAAAAACATGAACTATCAGTACAGGAAATAGGGAAAAACAGACTCATAAAATATGTTCCTAATATTTCTGTGGTCCAAAGTTTGTGCTAGTTATCATCTTACTGTGATAAATCTACATAAATTAATTCACGCTTTGTAAACTCAGTGACCTGATGAAACTAATTTTAAAACACAGATTGATTGTCCTGAGGTTAGTAAAATCAGGGCTTTAGTAGAGATCTGCCAAGACAGAGAACCAGAAAGGCCGAGGTCTGAGTCTATAAAATAACCATATCACACACATATGAGTAGTTGCATGGACACAATCCAGAACTTAAAACTCAAATATAGAAGGTTATAGTGTTACTGTGTCATTGGAAAAAAATATGGAGCTTATTCTCTTTTTCTTACAATATGTACACATCCAACTTGATATAGACAATGAAATTAATTATTACACAAACATAATTTTCTCAGATCACTGAACTCAAATTACAAGAGGAAAGCTGTTCCAGGGGTCCTCAAGGCCACCTCCAGTTTCAGTAATTTACTAGGGCACTTACAGGATTCAGCATATAGTTTTTACCCATGGCTAAGACTTATTACCCCCAAAGGATATAAAGCAAAATCATCAAGGGAAAATGTGCATGTGATGAAGTTTGGAGGAATCTAGGCGCAAACTTCAAAGATCCCTCTCCTGGTGGAGTCACACAGGATACACTAATTCCTCCAGCAAAAATTTGTCACACTTGTGAAATGTCTTCTCAGGATACTCATTAGAGACTCCATTCCCAGGGTTTTACTGGGGGCTTTTGACCAGGACCACCCTCTGCCTTAGTACATGTCAAAATCCAAACTGTCAGAAGGAAAGCAAGTGTTCAGCATAATTACATTGTTTTTACAAAGAATTTAGGCACCATGAGCCACTGTCATCAGTCCTAGGAATAGCAAGAAGCCTCTTGAAATCTAAGTTCCCAGCCACTAACCAAGAGCCAATATTGCAGGCAGGCATTTATTTCTAAGGGGAGCAGTCTTAGTCACGCTATGTTAAGTTTTTTGCACAAAAGCAGAACATAATTTTTATTATGTAATTATAAAACACTTAGTAAATGTTGCTGTTGAAAAAATTTCTTCTCAAGTAATTTTATCTCAGAGATACCCAGACCTCAAGACCAAGTGGAAGATTCTTAAATACATAATAATAATTTAAACATGTAAAGACATACAGCTGAGGTACTCTGTTTTGCACCCTACACTCTAGCAGTCATATCGATCAGGAAAACGTTAATCTCACATGTGAATGATCTAGTTCACTGAATCTAAGATTTGCCTTTTAAACAGAACACCAGAACAAGCTTAAGGAATATCTCACCAGTGAAAATACTGATTTCTCAAAGATGTTCAATACTAATTTTACTCTCACAATTTTCAAATTCAGCACTCATAAATTCCA